CTCTCCTCAAGCAGAGAGGGATGCCGGCTGTCTTCTGGGGAGAGGCGGTGCTAACGGCCGTCTACATCCTCAACCGCTCTCCTACTAAGGCACTCGACGGCAGAACTCCGTACGAGGCCTGGCATGGGCGGAAGCCGGCGGTCTCTCATTTGCGGGTCTTTGGCTGCCTTGCGTTCGCCAAGGAGCTCGGCCACATCGGCAAGCTCGACGACAGGAGCACTCCGGGAGTCTTCGTCGGCTACGCGGAGGGCTCAAAGGCCTACCGCATCCTCGACCCGAAGACACAACGTGTGCGCACAGCGCGAGACGTCGTGTTCAACGAAGGGCGAGGGTGGCAATGGGACAAGGCGGTGGACGACGGCTCGACACCGATGTATGACGACTTCATTGTCGAGTACGCTCACTTCAAGGAAGCTGGGGGAGCAAGCAGCTCCTCTTCACCGGGCACGTCTACCCCGGCCCCCAAAACTACATCGACTCCGGCGCCTGCTACACCGACGACACCACAACCGGCGACGCCGCATACTCCAGCCCCGGCGGTCGCCACTCCGGGCTCGTCTTCATCAGCACCAGCTCACGCAGAGCACAACCCGATGAAGTTCGCTTCCCCGCTCACTCACGACGAGGAGCGGGTCGACGCATGGTATGGAGGCGAACCGCTGCGGTACCGTACGATGGATAATGTGCTTGGCGACCAGCCGGTGCCAGGACTGGTGCCACGTGACCTGGAGGCGCAGCTACAGCTCGTGTGTGAAGACGGCGAACCACGGTCCTTTGCAGAGGCCGAGAGAGACGCGGCATGGCGCGCCGCGATGAAGTTGGAGATGGATGCGGTCGAGCAAAACCGCACCTGGGAGCTTGCTGATCTCCCTCGAGGTCACCGCGCAATCACCCTTAAGTGGGTGTTCAAGCTGAAGAGGGATGGAGCCAGCGCCATCATCAAGCACAAGGCTCGTTTGGTGGCCCGAGGCTTCTTGCAGTAGGAAGGAGTCGACTTCGACGACGCTTTCGCTCCCGTGGCACGGATGGAGTCCGTGCGACTTCTCCTTGCGCTGGCTGCCCAGGAGGGCTGGCGTGTCCACCACATGGACGTTAAGTCGGCATTCCTCAATGGCGACTTGAAGGAGGAAGTCTACGTGCATCAGCCACCGGGGTTTACGATTCCCGGCCAGGAGGGCAAGGTGCTCCGCCTGCGCAAGGCTCTCTATGGCCTGCGGCAGGCACCCAGGGCGTGGAACGCCAAGCTGGACTCCACGCTGAAGAAGATGGGTTTCGAGCAGAGCCCGCATGAGGCTGCCGTCTACCGACGGGGGAGTGGAGGAAATGCCCTGCTGGTGGGCGTCTACGTTGACGACCTGGTGATCACCGGCACCAAAGATGCAGAGGTGGCGGCGTTCAAGGAAGACATGAAGGCCACGTTCCAGATGAGTGACCTGGGGCTCCTCTCCTTCTATCTAGGGATTGAGGTGCACCAGGACCACTCCGGGATCGCGCTTCGACAGTCCGCCTATGCCAAGCGCATCGTTGAGCTAGCTGGGCTCACCGACTGCCATCCAGCTCTCACTCCGATGGAGGAGAGGCTGAAACTAAGTCGCGACAGCACGACGGAGGAAGTGGATGCTACACAGTACCGACGCCTTGTGGGGAGCCTTCGCTACCTCACTCACACACGGCCGGACTTGGCATTCTCCGTCGGCTATGTCAGTCGGTTCATGGAGCGACCAACGTCGGAACACCAACAGGCAGTGAAGAGGATCGTCCACTACATAGCAGGGACCCTCGACCACGGCCTCCATTACCCTAGGTGCCCTGGGGCGGCACACTTCGTCGGGTACAGCGACAGCGACCACGCCGGCGACATCGACACCAGCAAGAGCACGAGCGAGATCCTCCTCTTCCTCGGCAAGTGTCTCGTGAGCTGGCAATCAGTCAAGCAGCAGGTGGTGGCCCTGTCCAGCTGTGAGGCTGAGTACATAACGGCCTCCACCGCCTGTACTCAGGCGCTCTGGCTTGCTCGACTGCTTGGTGATCTTCTCGTTCAAGACACCAGAACGGTGCAGCTCCTGGTGGACAGCAAGTCCGCCCTGGCCCTGGCAAAGAACCCCGTGTTCCACGAACGGAGCAAGCACATCCGACTGAGGTATCACTTCATCCGCAGCTGTGTGGAAGAAGGGAGCATCGAGGCGAGCTACATCAACACCAAGGATCAGCTCGCAGACCTGCTCACCAAGCCCCTTGGGAGGGTCAAGTTCCTCGAACTTTGCTCCAGGATTGGGATGATTCAACTCTCCCACAAGACGACGTACAAGACTTAGGGGGAGAATGATGGATAAGTCTGTGTACTAGGGTCCTTGTGGGGCTGCAGCACATGGTCCTTGTGGCAGTTAGGAGGATAAAGTCCTGGACCATCAAGGACTGGCTGTTAGGATAGAGTTCTGTTCTTGACCATCAAGGACTGTCAGTTAGCATCTTAGACTAGCATCTTGGACTAGCATCTTAGACTGGCATCTTGGCAGCATCTTAGCATATGCCTTGGCTGGCTAGCAGCCTATAAATATGTGTGAGAAATAAACCAACGAAAATTGTCCCAACTCTCCTAGTGTCATCCACAACTATCAATGCTCAGGCTGAAAGGTCTAACAAGAAGACTAAAGCCGCCGTCTAAGCAACAGACTGTCGTTACACCTATCTAGTTGATGAAGGGGCGCAGATAGCCTAGGCCTAATACCAAACAGGCATCACAGCCAAACCTATCATCTAAGACCTGGGGTCCCATCCAGGACGCTTGCCTGGCATGGGTCTCACCAGTCCGGCGTGCACTCAGAGGCCGCCGCCGCCAGCTGCCACCGCTCCATCTTCAGAACTGTACTGATGCATCAACCTTGCTCGGTCCAGCTATCGTCGACGTCACCACGGCGCCCAACGGCACCTCCTCCCTGCGCGCAAACAGCTGAGCACGTCGCGGTCGCCACTGATACACCTCAGCACCATGCTGCCAAGTACCACCAGCCGACACAGCTTGAAGTCTTTGGAAAATCTGTCGTGCGTAGCACCTGCCGACCATGCATGACAAAGCGTAGCACCTGTCGGTCAGGCATGACTTGACATCTCCACCGAAGCTCCGTGCAAGACGAAGCCGCTCCACCTCCAGCCTCTTCGAACGGGAGCACCCCAGGAAGACACGACGAAGAGTTGAGCACCACAATCACCACGAGAGCCGGACCAGCCGACCGCCATGGCGAAGCGACACCACTAAAGCGAGAACCGCCGCCATCAGGAACGCCAAGAACGCGCTGCAGCTGTCCCACCTCCCGGCGGACCCAAAGCGGCGCCTTCAAGAAGGTGACGGAGCCGGGCAGTGCCGCCGCCCAACCAAAGTTGTGGGTTTTCACCGGGTGCAGGGGGAGGACGAGGGGGAGGGAGCTGGATCTCGAAGCCGCCTTCAAGAAGGAAACATCGCCCGAAGCGCCGCCCACGTCGTGACCGCCGCAGCTGGCCAAGAAATTACTCCGATCCAGAGCTCGCAACCCCACATCCGCGCAATCAGCCACCGGATCCGGCGGGACTGACGAGGAGGAAGCAGCAGCAGCACGGGGGCGCTGTCTTCAGATCTGGCGAAGGAGAGCAGCAGGGGATCCCTCCAACGCGGCGCCCGCATCCACCGCCAACTCGCCGCCCACGCGGCCGAGTAGACGACGCCGCCCTCACCAGCAGAGGCCGCCGCCTCAAACCCTAGGCCCGAGCCCGAGCGGCGTCGCGGCCGAGGGCCTCGCCGCCACCCTCATCGGCGGCCGCGCGGGGGACTCGGCACCCGTCTCCGGCGGCGGCGAGGGCAGGAATCGAGAGGGGGGGAGGCGGACGGGGAGATCGGTCGCCCCCGAGTCGCCCTCGAGAGGGCGACGCGAGGGAACGGGGTTAGCGGATGGACCTCATGCTTGGTTCAGTTTTGTGAGGATTCATATTTTGTGAGGATTTTTTGTCTCACATTGTCATTTCCTTTTACACGAGATGAAGATACTTATAAATACGATCCATTCACATGCAAATTTTTCAAGAAAATTTTCATTTAAAATTGTTTGGTTGGTGTATTGACCAATTTATTAGCATGGAGGCTATGACAAACAAGCGCATTCCAATTTGTTTTGCTCAATCTTCTTATTTCATTTTTTAGACCTCGTGATTCATTCGTAGTTTGGTAGATCAATACTTATTACTGTGATTAGCAGATTTTACCGCCTGATTGCACTGATTTTTTTGGTTGAGAATAATCTTTCTACTAGTTACTTAATGTGGAGTACTTTGGAAATGTTGATGAATCTGGAGTTTTAGAAGCAAATATTTAATCATGAACTTACGTTTTGCTCGAGATTAATCTTGCTACTCATTACTAAATGTAGTTCATCTTCAGAGTTGAGTAATGGTGTGGAGATGTTCATGGATCTACAATTTTACAAGCGATATTTAATAATGAACACACCAAGATATATTTTTTTGAAAAGCACACCAAGATATATAGTCAGTTTCTGAGGAACATATCAGTGTTCATTCGGCCATTTTGTTGCTGATATGCATTCAGTATAATAAATTGTACACTTAATGTGGTATTTATAAATATTAATAACCATTTGCAGCAATATACCGTCCGATGTCCATTCGTCCTTCCCGTTGACGTGACCTGCATGTGATGCCGAGAGTGCTTGTTTATGGACCCTGCTGTGCGGATGGTGGGTCCATGAACTGTACGAATTACAAAATGTATGTCTGTTATGTTTATACTGTACTGACGGGGATATGATCTCAATGTGACCAAGCAACCGTGACAACAGAGCTACCTGTCACTCGAGCCTTAAAGAGCATTCTTGTTGTTACATAGTCTATCGTGTACTCGCCACCCAAACTGGGGGAAGGCTAGCTAGCTATTAAGTAAACTAGGAAAAGTGGTTTGGATGCACCTAATTAATTTTTAGTTCAATGACTAATTATATTTCCTACAATTGCAGGTATTTAAGAATATGACTACTGATTTGGCTGAGCAATATCCTGCATTGGTTGAACCAGCAAAACTAATCCTAAAGAAGTGCAATGGACTTCCCCTTGCGATAGTCACCATTGGTGGCTTCTTGGCTGATCAACCAACAAAAACTGCTGCAGAGTGGAGGAAACTGAATGAGCATATCAGTGTTGAGCTGGACATGAACCCAAAGTTTGAGGTCATAAAAACAGTCCTCATGAAAAGTTATGATGGCCTACCCTATTATCTCAAGTCTTGTTTCTTGTACATGTCCATCTTCCCTGAAGACCGCAATGTTAGCCGGAGACGTTTGGCTTACCGATGGATTGCTGAAGGTTATGCACGAGACAAGGCCACAGCAGATAGATACTTCATGGAACTCGTAGAGAGAAGCATGATATTACCAACTCAACAATCAGTATGCAGCATACAAGGATTCGACTCGTGCCAGCTACACGATCTGATTCGTGATATCAGCATTGCAGAGTCAATGGAGGAAAATCTTGTTTTCAGGCTGGAGGAAGGCTGCAGCTCGAACACGCACGGTGCAGTGCGTCACCTTGCCATAAGCAGCAACTGGGAGGGAGATGAGCGTGAGTTGGAGAGCACCGTGGAGCTGTCCCGTATACGGTCATTGACAGTGTTTGGTAAGTGGAAGCCATTTTACATTTCTGATAAGATGAGGTTTCTTCGGGTGCTGGACCTGGAAGGAACAGAAGGGTTAAGAAATCATCACCTTGAGCACATTGGGGAGCTTCTTCATCTAAGATTCCTCTCTCTACGAGGGTGTCATGAAATCTTTTACCTTCCAGATTCAGTGGGTAATCTGAGACAACTTGAGACACTAGACATTAAAGGGACGGGTATAGCTATGTTGCCCAGAACCACCATCAAGCTTAGTAAGCTATGTTATCTGCATGCTGGTAGCGGTTCAGGGGATAATGAGAAAACTTATTTTTCAAAGTGCGAAGACATTTGTGAAATGCAACGTGATTTATGTGTAGGATGCTGCTCACTGGATCTTTCAGACTTGGATGGATTTGGCAGGTGTGAGGCTTTCCATCTTGTTTGCTGCTTAATGTACCCTAATATCATTAGGGGCATAGAGGATTCTGGTGTTAAGGTGCCAAGAGGGACCAGGAAACTGAAGGCCCTCCGTACACTACGGTATGTTCACCTTGCTTGGGGAATTGCCATTATAAAAGAGATAAAAGGCCTCACTGGTCTGCAGAAGCTAGGAGTGGTCGGTATCAACAAGAAAAATGGTCCAGGTTTCTGTTCGGCCATTTCCAGTCTCAGCCATCTTGAATCATTGTCAGTGCGGTCAGGTGATGGCCTAAATGGCTGTTTGGATGGCATGTACACAGCTCCGGAAAACCTGCAGAGCCTCAAGCTATCCGGCAGCCTGGAAAAATTGCCGGAATGGATCAAGGGGCTCCAGAATCTTGTGAAGCTCAGGTTAGAACTAAGCAAGCTATCAGGGAACCTCGAAACCATGCAAGTTCTTGGGAAACTACAAAACCTATCCATTCTGGGTTTGTGGGATGACGGGTTTAAGATCGATGTACTCCGGTTCCAGACTGGCCTTTTCAGAAGGCTCATGGTGCTTGATCTTTTCTACTCAAGGATGGAAATTAAATTAGTGGAGTTTGAGGAAGAATCAATGCCCAATCTTGAGTTGCTGACCCTTAGCCTTGGAGATACTGAAATTGCCTTCTCTGGGCTAGAACTTCTCCAAAGCATCAAGGAAGTACGGCTTAGTGTTCATAGCTACTTGTTTGGTACACCCAAATCATCAAAAAATGGGGGAAATGAAAAAATGGGGAAAACATTGTATGAAATGATGAAAAGAGAAGAAGAGAGAAACAAACCCATGCAAGATAAAGTCAGGCAGGAGTTGCAGGCGCAGCTTGATAGGAATAAGAATCGTCCAGTCTTGAAGGTGCAATGAGCTCAGAAACCTGGGGCTACTTCTGAGTGGCGGCCAAGCCATGCTATTGGAAAATCTATCTTGTTTTTATCTCTTGCATTGATTGTTATATGTTGTAATAATGGATTGAAATATAGCTCACACGAGTCTGTTAGAGGTGGTATTTCTTTTTCTGCTGTGGGTATCTCATTGAGTTTCTGAAGAATGAATGGCCGCTGCAATATATGATGCTCTGTATCTGTATGTTCTGGCGATGTGTGCACCATCGCTGGGCTGCTTAATAATAAGGGTGTGGTGATATCTTCGGCAATTGTAAAAACTGCTTGGATTAAATGCATAAAATTCTTCAGTACTCAGTACTAGTATGTTGCATCATATGCTACGCTTGTAAGATGCTTTGTGCTTGGTGATTATGCCATTTCTGCTTCGGGGCTCTGCTTGGATATGGTGAAGAATGTATCGGCAGCACTGCAATATAAGATGCTCTCTGTACCTGCATGTTCCGGCCGGCGATGTGTATATGTATCATCGTGCTCTGGTAACTGAATGAAGTTTTGGATTAGATGCAGAAACCTCGTCAGTATTTTACATCATACTCCCTCTGTCCGGAAATGCTTGTCATCAAAATGGATAAAAGGGTATCTAGATATATTTTAGTTCTAGATACATTTGTTTTTATCAAAATTCAAAATGGATAAAAGGGGATGTATCTAGATATATTTTAGTTCTAGATACATTTGTTTTTATCCATTTTGATGACAAGTATTCTCGGACGGAGGGAGTATGTTGCAACCCTTTTCTTCTGCCCTTGGTGACCGTGTCAGTCGGTCTGCTCTGTCCCTTTCATTTGTCAGCAGAATGGAATGAATGATGTAACCACATACAGTATAATCTACCTAGGCATCAACAGCTTACAGATGTCATGAAGGGTCAGTCCATCTACGTAGTCAGGCAGCTAAATTGTTTCACGTAGCATGTATACTTCTATTTTTTTGAGCCTGGCAATAGTTATTCCTTCGTTACGTTAGTTTCATTGCTTTGCTTTGACTTTTTATTTCTTTTTCCAATTTCCTACTTTTATTCATATTTCTTTCTCAAATAGAAAACATTTTAATTAATTTTATTTAAAAAATTCATGACGCAGCTAATAAAATGTTCATGTGTTTTAAAAATATTATTTGTGCAATTTTTCGAAAAACTTCATACCATTCAAGAAAATGTTCGTGACATTTCAAAAATATTCACACGTTTAAAATTTAGTTTATGAAATATTAGAAAAGGTTCACCGGCAGTTCGAGAAATTCATATAGAGTGAAAACATTATTTGCTCAATATTTTTAGGAAAAACCTAACGCTCACAAGTGTGGCATCTTGCACATCGTCTACACACCTCCTTTACCACTCATTTTACCACATATAAACAGATGACATCAGCAGGAAATTTTTTGGTTTTCGGCTTAAAAATGTTTTATCTCCTAATTAAAAAATCGAATTAAAAATCCGTCTTCGTCATTAAATACGTATCGACGAGATCTTCAAAACTAGACCCCATGTTGATATGTTTCGACGATTTTTTTTGCACAAAAGTTGCCATGATGTTTACATTGTAGTTGCCGTAGTGCTTAAACTAAAGTTGCCATGTGGCAATTTCAGTTTGTAGAGCATGTCAATTTTAGTATTTTGATGATGGCATTTCCAGTACTTTGATCATGAAAATTATTTTTTGTATGAATCATGGCAATTTTAAGTGCATGTATCATGGCAACTTTAGTTTATGGTTCATGACAAGTCTAGTTTCTTAATTCCTTATTTTATAAATGTCAAAAATTAATTTTAAATGTAGAAGAAAATAGTCGAAACATGCCAACTTCAGTGTAAACACCATGGCAATTCATGTGCAACAGACATGCCAACTTTTAACCCTAAAAAATCGTCGAAATATATTGATATGAGATTTAGTTTCGAAGATCTCATCTCAAGGGATTTAATGGTGAAAATGGATCTTCAATCGGATTTTTCATTTAAGAGATAAAACATTTTTAAAACTGAAAATCCAAAAAGATTTCCACATGCATGCATGCGGTGACGTGGCGCAGTCTCTGTGTTATAGGACGTGTGGGCGGGTTTCACCACACGTGTGGGCGTTAGCCTTGTCCTTTTTTTAAGATGTTAGTACCATTAAAAAGTACTTTGACACATGTTTAAATGTTGTTCGTGGCATTTCTAAAAATCTGCACCGAAATGTAAAACTTAGGTAACATAGTTTGAAGAAAACAATATTCGTACCACTCCATAAATTATTCATGAAATTTAAGGAGACATTCTTATGTTCATGAAAATACAAAAAGAAAATTGTTCATCCGATTTAAAAAAAAAGCTCTACACATGAGTTTTTTTTCCATGCTGGCAACGGTTCAGCGGATATTGAGCAAAATAGTATTTCAAAGTTTTTTTTGAAAAGCTATGTTGCCCAGATCCACCACCAAGCTTAGTAAGCTATGTTATTTCCGTGCTGGCAACGGTTCAGGGATTTTGAGCAAAAATAGTATTTCAAAGTGTGAAGACATTTTGGAAATGGAACGAGAATTATGTGCAGCATGCTGCTCATATGAGTTTCCAGATATCGATGGTTTAAGCAGGTGTGAATTGTGCAGTGTTGCTAGCTGCATAGTGCCCCCTAATATCATTAGGGGCATAGATAAGTGTGGTGTTAAGTTGCCAAGAGGGACCGGAAAACTGAAGGCCCTGCTTACACTGCGGTATGTGCACCTTGCCTGGGGAAGTGCCGTTATAAAAGAGATAAAAGGTCTCACCGGCCTGCAGAAGCTAGGAGTGGTTGGTATCAACAAGAAAAATGGTTCGGGTTTCTGTTTAGCCGTTTCCAGTCTTAGTCGCCTTGAATCGTTGTCGGTGCTGTCAGGTAATAGCTTAATTGGTTGTTTGGATGGCATGTCCATGGCTCCGGAAAACCTCCAGAGCCTCAAGCTATCCGGCAGCCTGGAAAAAATACCTGAATGGATTGGGGTGCTCCAGAATCTCGTGAAGCTGAAGCTGCAGTTCAGCGGCCTATCATGTAACTGTGCAGCCATGCAGGCCCTTGGGAACCTGCGAAACCTATCGATTCTCGGATTGTGGGAGAGGAAAATTAAGATGGATGTACTCCAGTTCCAGAGTGGCCTTTTTGGAAGACTCGCAGTGCTCGATCTTCTCTATGAAGACATGGAAATCAAATTAGTGGCATTTGAGAAAGATTCAATGCCTAATCTTAAGTTTCTGAGCCTTCGCCTTGAAGATACTGAAACTGCCTTCTCTGGGCTAGAACTTCTCCAAAGCATCAAGGAAGTAGGGCTCGGCGTTGATTTTACCACTCGTTCAATGGAACTTCCAGGAGATATGGGATTGGAAGAGCGTTATAAAGAAGAAGAAAACAAAACAAAACTCATGAAAGACAAATTCAAGGAGGAATTGTGGATCAAGCTTGAGAGGAATAAAGGCCATCCCGTCTTGAAGGTGGAATGAGTTCAGAAACCTGGGGAAGCTCCTATCCTAAATATCCTGACTCGCTGACATGCTATATCATGCCATGCCATTGATAAAATCTATCTTTGATCTACTCTCTTGTTTTATCTCTTGCATTTCTTGTTGTAATAATGGCCTAAACGTCCACGACATTGTTGTCCTGCGGCTGTTAGAGGTGGTTTTTCCTTTGCTGATTTGAGGGTCTGCTTTGATTTTACAAAAAAGGGTTTCCCCCCGCTTTATATATAAAGCACCAACACTTACATCCAAACAACCGATACAAACGCACGCCACACACAATTCAAGGCAAGGTACAAGAATGCCAGGCACCGACACACAACCTCAACGACTATCAAGTATCAACAAAATGAGCAAAAAGAACCGCTTGTAGCCGACGAAGGCCACCATCAAGATGAGAGATCATCCGGGAAGAAGTGCAACGGACAACGCCGGACCGAGGGCTCCAAGATGATTCCTCCAAGAAGGGCATGACCACGGACCGTCGCCATCGTCCGATCCAAAGATCAGGTTTTCACCCAGAGCTAGACGGGTGGAGTGGGAGCACCATGACGGAGCCTGCAAGGAGGAACACGACGTCCGCGGACGCCGACACCGTCGAACCGTGCATGGACAGGTAAGTGATGAATCCAAGTGCTCCACCCTTCCACCGCATCCCCGGTCCGCCAACCGCCTGCAGCCATGCCACCCAAAAGCGGCCATGGTTGCTCGCCCGCATCCGAGTCGCGCAGTCCGCCTATGACCAACGCGACTCCCACCACCAGGGCCGCCGCCCCGCCACCGGACCACCCCGAGAAGCCCCAAAGGTCACGCCTTGGACAAGATCCACGATCCTAACCACCTCAGAACCGCCGGCGACCACTGCCTCAAGAGGAACCATGCCCAGTTGGCCGGGGGGAAGGGGGAGGAGGAGGAGCGGCCTATGGCCACG